CAACAGTGCCACAGTTAAAGAGATCTTTACAGAGCGAGGCCGCTAGCACTGGGAACGGCTGCCCGAGCACTGCACGCTGCTCCAAGCGCTGCATCCTCACGACCACCCAGGAAGGAGGTTCCAGAATGCTCATCTTACAGACGAGGAAACACACTGAGAAGTCAAAAACCACATCCAGGCCAGCAAGTTAAGTTACAGAATTGGGTTCTAACCCGGAGAGCCCCAGTCCTTTCAGAGACGAGTGAATTTATCTCCCTCCCTAAAATTCAGGAAGTAGTTTAAAATTCTTATGACAATTTATTGGAAACCTTTTGTACAGCTTTAACACTCTCTTGTCTAATTAGAAAATGTCCAGAATTTATTAACTACAATACTCAGACAGGTGAAAAAGAATCTGTAACCTTCACTGGGAATGTATTTTATAATTGCCACAGGACCTAGTCAGGAGACACACAGCTCTGCATAAAGATAGTTACCCACAGTGTATCACAGAGAAGGGACATAGTGGATCTCTGGCAACTTGCTGCACTGATGGACAGTGACTGCACTGGGGTCTGGGTGGGGACTCGATAATATGGGTAATGTAGTTACCACATTGTTTTTTCATGTGAAACCTTCATAAGAGTGTATATCAATCATACCTTAATAAAAAAAAAAAAGAGGTTTATAGGTCATATTGCATGATCAAAACCGAAAGTTTCTGTGATGAATGCCCTTGTACTGTTCACCATGTAAGAATTTATTCACTCTGTAAGAATTCGTTCACCATGTAAGAACTTGTTCGTTATGCTTCAGAAGATTGGANAAAAAAAGATAGTTACCCACAAGTAAAGGAGAATATCCTCAACTCATGCCATTAGTACTCCAGTACTGACAGGTTTAAGAATACAGTTTTTCACCTTGATAAAATGCATTAGTAAGCTTGCAGCAGCTAATTATTAAGTCATAACCTTGTATCAATGGCAATACAGGTTCAATTAAATACTGTAATCTCTTAAAAGTTACCTTAGGTAATCTTGGTCTTTTATATCAGTAAGTTTTTAGAAATGGCTTTTTCACAGACCTTTAATAAATCAAATAAGGGAATACTCGCTTAAGTCTTTTTAAAAAAAAAGTAACACTGCTTTATAAGATAGAAGCTCTTCTATCACTGGAGGCCAGCAGTAATATCCATTGACTGCTGTGCACCTAACAGTAGACACTGCCATTATTAGAATAAGGTTAAAAGACTTAGAAAAGATTCTAGCATTCCACCAATCCACTGACAATTCAAATGTCTACAGATGACCTATATTTCTTAAGTAAGTTCTGAAACAAAACTCACAGCTTTAAAAAGTGGTACTCCATTCCTTTTCCAGAACAGTCGGTGTGATGTTAGATTACTCTCTACACACACACACACGCACGCCACACATATTTGGACTGTTTCTTTCTTTCAACAGTATTACACATTCAGTTTTGTAAAATTATGTAAATTATTTGATTCCGTTTCAATTTAAATTTGTTTTTATTCCCACATTCTATGTTCACTAAATCACTTAGCTGAACTGTCTACTTCATAATTCATAATTTCTCTAACCACTCTTATCAATGAACACAAATCTGAAATCAGAATGTACACAAAATTAGAAAATTTTAAGCCTTTTTTGTTCAATGCTTTACTAGGCTTACACTAACTAGGTTTTTCAAAATAACACGGCGTGCCATATGGTCAGGTCCAGATAATAAAATTGAGAGTATCTGCTACCAACCCACTAATGCTGAAAGCCAACGTCTGTAGCCAGTAAGACTTTCATCCAATTTAGAGACCAACATGAGCTGAGAAAAAAACAAGCCAAAGGAAACTATAATCAACAATACTGCACAGCTAAAGTAGTATCAGTGTTATTCTTTAAAATATTAGCTAAAAAGTCAACTGCTGGTAGGTAAGTCTACAGATATCCTGAAGACCTTTCTCAAAGCTATTTATAGAAATACTTTTCCAATCAAACCAATGGATAAGAGACATATTTTTAGCAAAGTAAAAGGTAACAGAACAAAGCCTTGAGAAATGAATAAAGTCCTCATAAAACCAGTCCATTTCTCAAGGGGTCAATGTAAGTCTACCCACCTGAATCAAACTCTGAAATCGAAGTCACTAGGTATGACAAAGATCTGAAAAAAGGTTCCACTCTGTTAAAAAAAGACAGCATAGTTGACCCTTGAACAATGTAGGGATTAAGGGTGCCCACCCCTACACAGTCAAAAATCAAGTATAACTTCTGACTCCCCAAAACTTTAATAGCCTACTGCTGATTGTACGGTGACAAATCATTTAAGACTAGCACCTACAGGCATTTCATGTACTCCTGACGTACCTTTCTCTTAATTTTTTTTGGTACTTATAGGAACATGGTTCATCTGTGAGTTTTTTCAAATTGTCACAAATCTCTAAAAAATTTTCCAATATATTTATTGGAAGAAATCCATGCTAAGTGAACACAAGCAGTTAAAACTTTTCTTCAAAGGTCAACTGCACATTAATCTGCAGCCTTTCGGTAGTCTTTTTAAATCTCTTCTGAGATTAAAATAAATCTGAAGAAACTTACTTCACCTCCCCCCAAAAAAGAAGTAATTCAAGATACGAAAGAAAATCTTTATTAAGGCATCATTCACGGACATTCTGCTCAGCACTCGTCTGATGAGATAAGCTGTGGTGAACTTGGATAGAGAAATAGCTTTTGTCTGGAGCGCGAGTTCATTTAATAAAGTGGCAATTCCGGTCAGACCTTCACGGCTGATCAATGTCCTCTGTAAGCAAACTCCTGAGGTTCCAGAAGACAAAATGTAGCCCTAAAAACGGCCCTCAAACATGGAGAACTGATAGTGAGCCACAGGCGCAATCACACAACTGAACTTTGCTTTCCTCACCTCTCGCCTTCTAGAGAAACTTGTAGCACTTACCATGCCTGAGGAACCAGGAGCAGGTAAGGTGGGCGTCTCAGAGGACAAGAGGCCTTACAGCCCACCTCACACGGCTGCCGGAAACCTGCCCCAGCGGGACACTGCCCGGGTGAGCCTTGGAGCCTTGCAGCTGCACCCCACTTCTGGACCGCTGTCAGAAAGTTAAATGAAGCCAAAAGCTACCACCCAATCCTGCCGTGGGGAGGCTCTCAGACCTGTTTCCAAGTCGGTGGTACCAGCTCTGCCCCCACCCTCACACCCAGTATTAGTAAGGAAACAAAAAAGGAACTGCCTGTTCACTCTTTTTGCAATATATACCTTCCGGAATAGACCCTATGTATCTTAATAAATGCAAACGGAAAACCTTATTTTCAAATAAAGTACCCCTCCAACCCAAGAACGACTACAGCTCCAAAGGAGAACCCAAACACTCATGCAGAAATCTTATCGGTGACAATGCTCTGAAGACCTTATTCAATATGGAACTTCTAACAAAATACTTCCACTTATTTGCTAATCGTGAAAAATGACCTACATACTTCCTCGGTTAATAACCTCACAGGCAACTGCTTAATCATCAAATATTATTTGATATCACTGTTATCAGAGAGCAAAAGGAAAATCCAAAAACCCACGAATATCTCCAAACCAAAACCACAGGTTAAGACAGCTACTTGGTCTACGCATCAACTCAGTAACGTACTCTACAGCTGTTAATGTCCAGTTTCCCATCGCAGAATAGAAATCCCATCGCCGTTTTCCTTCAGGAAATTAATCTCCAACGCTAAGTGAGAAGCATCCACAAGCACGAGCTGGGCAGGTAACGCTAACACTACCTCCATGGCTGCCCATGATTTAAAGGCCTTTTGAATCAAACGTCAATTCGCAAAGGAAAACACGGGATTTTTCACAAGTCCAAGGCTCAGCCACCGCCCGGCGGTACGCCCCTCCCCCGCCTACCCGCAGATCCCAGAGAGCAGGCTCGGCCGGAGGAGGGCACCCAGCCCCGGCGACTTCCTCCCTCCCCCCCGCCGCGATCCTTCCGAAGAACGTGACCCGGGCCCACGGCACCGTCGGGCCGGGAGGCAGCCTGGGAGCGCGCGGCGGCGGACAATGGAGGGCGGCGGCGCGCCATCTTGGGGCGGCAGGGCCTGCGAGCCATTCATTGGGGCGCGGGGTGGAAGGAGGGCGGGGCGGCGGCAGGGGAGCAGGAGCCGAGGGGGTGGGGGCGCAGCGACCCCCGCCCGGGCCTCCGGTCCGCCAGCCGGCACCCGCCCCGCACGCGGGCTTCGCACCGGCGACGGGGAAAACGAGGAAGGGCTCGCAATGGGGCGACCTCCCACTTTCCCGTAGAAAGAAAAGGGCCGAGTGTCGCACCGTTTCGGTCTTCAGGCACATCTGTTTCTGCCATAAATCCCCCGAATTTCCACGGGCGGAGTTTCCCCATTTCACTGTCCCCCTTCTTCGTGTGGCTACCAAGCCCTAACTTCAAAGTCTCCCGAAAAGGTGCAAACACGACGTTCTTCCGAAGCGAAGGGCGAACAGCACAACCCGCTGCAGAGCCCCGCTGCTCTTTGTTCTCGCGGCCCGGCCAGCCGCCCGGCGCTCCGGAGGGGACGCCGGGCCTGGGGACCCCCGCGCGGCGCCCAGCCCCGGGGGCCGGCCTCGGCCCGCGGCCTCCGGGCCCCGGCCGTGGGCCCCAGGACCGCGGCCTGCACCCAAGTTACAGAGCCCGAGCCAGAGGCCTGGACCCAGGACCCAGGACCCAGGACCCAAACCCGGACCAGGAGCCTGGACCCAGGACCCCAAACCCAGGCCTGAAGACCCCAGACTCGGCCCCCAACCCAGGACCCCTGAGCCCAAACTCTGGACCCCAGACCTATGACCCAAGGCCCCAGACCCCTGTCCCGGAGCCGGGGCACAGGGCCGCAAACCTCGGCCCACCCAGGCCGACGGCCGCAGGGTCCCCGCCAGCCCCGACCGGCCGACCCAGCCGGCGGCGGGGTGGGGGCGGGGCGGCCCGCGGGCGCTGGGCGGGCCGGGGCCGCCGCGCTCACCTCGGCGCCTCGTTCCGCCTGACGCGCCCGCACCCCGCCGCCTCGGCCTCCTCGCCGCCGCTCCGGAAAGGGGTCGCGCTCTGGGCGCTCCGCGGGGGCTGCGGGCAGGTGCGCCGGGGAGGTTCCGTCCGGTCCCGCGGTGCCTGGTCCGCGCCCGCGCCCGCGCCCACTCCGCCGCAGACTCCGTCCGCCCCTCAGACGCCTCCAGCCATCGGGATGGGCGCGGCGGCCCCTGCCCGCAGCCTCGGGAAACCCCACGCTGCGTCCCCGCGCACGATGCGCGCACGCACTCTCGGCCTCGGTGCCGGCGCGCGCACGTCCGCGCACCTCCTGACCTCACCAACCCGCCGCGCGCGTGCGCGTGCCGATTAAAGGGGCCGCGCTGCGCCCTAGGCGCTGCGCTCCGCAGCCGCGAGGCCTGGCACGCCCCTTGCCAGCGCTGGGCTCCGCGCCCCAGGGTGCCCCGCAGGACCCTGAGCTGGGGTGGGCCAGCCTGCCACTGGCCGGCTCGGTATCCAGACAAGCTGACGCCGGTGGAGGGAGCCGGATCCCTCTTCGCCCCGCCCCTGCCCCCGCATTTGCACTCTGCCCCACACCTGGCATACTCACCCAGCATTCTGCGCCCCATAACGGCTCCTGCACCCCGCGCCTGTGCCCCATAGGCACACATGCCGAGCGAAGGCCGACCCTCAAGCGGTGGGGTCGCCGGAGCTGACCGATTCCTCAGGCGAAGGTGGCGCCGCTGGGTGAGGTGGGCAGCGCCTGCCCTCCGAGCTGCCCCTGAGGTTCCAGCGAGCGCGAGCAGGTGCGGGCAGTGTGGCCTCTGCGGCTGCTCCCAGGGCATTCCTGTCGGGAACAGACACCTGGGCAGGGAGGTGTGACCGCGGGAGACTGTCGGCAGGGAAGTGGTGGACCCTGAGAAGTAAGCTGGGCAGCTGCGGACTGAAGACCCTTCAGGTGTAGGAAGGGAAGGTGGACATGGGTCAGATGGCACAGCCTGTAGAAACCTCTGGAATGTCAAGTCCTGGCCACCACCTCTGTCTTTCCAGCTGAATTCTGGCCCTCCACGTCCAGTAACTCTCCATCCCAGTGAATTCTTTGTTGCCAGGGCCTGCAGTCTCCACCCTGACATCCCCTTCCAACCAGCTCATCCCCACCCCTGGCCCTCCCTGTGTTGCCTTTTCCAGACCAATCCAGGACCCTGTCTCCTCCGGGCCTCCATGGCTTGGCTAAAAGAGGCTGGAGAACATACCCAGCACACAAGTCTATCCCCTTAAACCAGGGCACCCCCATCCTTCCCAGCTTCTTTCCCAGCTGCAGCGATGTCTCTAACTCTGTGTGTGTGTGTATATTTGTGTCTAGAGGACTATCCACTTCAGCGTAGAACACACACCTTCCTACCCACTGGAGGGCTGCACTCCCTGCTCCTCCCCCTCCCAGTCCTTCCAGAACACAGACATGACCCCTGAACTCTTAGAACCCTTCCTTAATCCCTGGCACAGAATGCTCTAGGCTCTTAGCCCCTCCCTGCCCGAGCCCTGAACTCAGCCATTTCTCTAAGGTAGTGCGGAATGGTATGAAGAAGCTAGGATCCATGTACTGGGTGTGCTCAGGGCTAGTGAGATGTCATGGCTTCTAGTCCCTGTCTGCATACAGACCAGCGTACAGGTACAAACATGCATGTGTATGTATGCACATACACAAACTACCCCCTGTAAACAGTCCCCCATGATCACAATCACCCCGCCCTCCTAACCCCACGTGGGCTCTGACCCCCACCAAGCCACTGCAGCCCCGCCCCAGCAGGGATGTCCTCCTTCTCAGCTGACAAGAACTGAGTGTCAATCACAGCATTCCACTTAAAGCTGTGGACAGTTCCCATTACCCGCTGCCCCGGCCTCTGGGCCCATCTTAAACACAAAAGCCACCAAGTCGTGCGCTCTGGCCTTTGGGCCCTGTGGCTCCCTCTGCCTGGAAGGGTCTCCCCACTAACCGCCAGTCACCCTTGCAGAGAGGTCTCCCCTAGCCCCCCTGTTCGTGCCCAGGGTCTTGGCAGCTTTGTCTCCCTTCAGAGTGCTCAGTCCCACGGCCTCACGTGCTCTGCTCACAGGCTGCTTTGCCCCTTGCCAGCTTCCCCTGCTGAGGATGGCACTTTAACTCCCTTGCCCACTGCTTAGCCCACAGAGGAGGGTGCGGAGCACACAGTGGGCCCTCAGGGAATGCTTATGGGATGGGCAGAAGGGGTGTGCTCCAGGTAAGGGGGCCAAGACCCAGATGAGGGCCAGAGGGGCAGCGGGGCATCAGAACAAAATGGTCACTGTCCAGGACAAGGCTGGCGCCTTGGGCAGGGGTGTGGGGGCCTCTGCAGCATTGCCCACTGATAGAGAGGAGGAGATAGATGATGCCAAGTGCCCACATTGGCAGATGGGCCCAGAAACAACGGTACAAGGCTCCAGTCTCAGGGTCAGAGGCAGCCCTCCAAATCCAGCAAGTCTGATGCCAGCCTTCAGTGCCCACCTAAGTCCAGGACTTAGGAAAGTGGGAGTGAGAAGGAGAGAGAGAAGCAGGGGGAGAGGGAGGCGAAGGAAGATGTGAACGGCAGGGAGGGGAGGCAGAGGTGGCAGCAGTGCAGAAGGAGTGGGCAGGGGCCAAGTGGTCTCCATGGAGACCTGTGTGCTGTGGGGGCAGCAGGAGGCCGGGAACCCTCCGAACCCTAATCCTACCATCCCGGGTTCCTGTCACCCCACCCAAGGGCCATGGTGAGCAGCAGGCTGCAGGCCGGACTGGGCAGCGGAGTGGCTGGTGGGGCTGGCCCAGGGCCCCCTGCCCCACAGGCCATCAGCAAGCTGGCCAGGCACAGCTCCAGGGGCACCAGGGCTGCAGGCAAGTGCCCACCCCAGCCGTCCAAGGTTTTGGGTGCAGCCCTGGTGCCCCAGCTAATTGTGTGTCTGTGGGGTGCGGCCAGGCTTCTCTGTAACTTGCCCTGTGGCCCAGGGCCTGAAAGCCTCATTTATGGGTTTATGGACAGGGTGTGAGGGGCAAAGTTGAAGAAAAGGCAAGAGTGAAGGAGCAGGAGCCCCAGGTCCTCGGTCCCAGACCCTCCCACACAGCCTGAGCCTCCCCCTCTCCAGGGCACACTGGCCTGACCACCAGGGTTCCAGGGGTCCTCCTGCCACTCTAGGCCAGTCCCCTCTGGCCCCGGGGGCCTTGGTCAGTCCTCAGATCCCTCAGGAGCTTCCAGCTTCCAGCCAGGGCCCTTTGGCCTTAAGGGTCTTGTTACAGAAAAACCTGAAGAACCTGGACTGGACAGCTGACGGAAGAACCAAGCGGCACTCGCAGGTCTTGGAGTGCTGAGGTTTTAATTTCACACTGACGGGCTCAGGAGGGGGAGTCATCTCCCAAGGTCTGAGTCCCGAACAAAGGCAAGGGGAGAGACATGTATCTTTCTTCTTCCTTATCTGCAGCATTTCCACGCGCACAGCAAGCAAGCAAGGGGGAGTGAGTTTAGGGAGTGAGCGCCTGGCAGAGCGGGAATCAAGGGGGTCTCTGTTGCTTTCGCTGAGAAGCCGCCCGGACCAGACTGCTGTCCTTGTAAAGTTTTCTCTCTCAGTCTGAAAGATGCTCTGGGGACCCTGCCCTCCCTGCCCTCCCCGCCATCTCTTCCGTGCAGGTTTCTGGCTGTTTTTATGCCCTACCCACTGCCTAGCTGCCTCCTAGGTGGGCACAAATCAGGACCAAGGGTGGACCCACTGCCCTTCCATGGAGAGCTTGTGCCCAGCTGGCCAGGAACCCAAGCGTCTTCTGATTTCGTGGTCCTCCCCTGATAAGTGGCTTAGGGCTTAGCCTGAAGTCCTGAGTGCCCAGCCGCACCTGGTCAGCTGTACCCAGCTCAGAGGCCGGCCGGCCAGGCAGCTGCAGGGCTGAGCATGGCTGGAGGGTGAAGGATGCTGCCCGCAGCCTGGCTCAGTGCCCAGTGGTCTCTAAAACTTGAGGAGTGCAAATGCATAATTCAGATGCCCAGCCCTATCTGCTCTTTATCAGGAAATGGTCGGCAGGGAAAGTAGGTCTTTTAAAATCTGAATTATCCAATCAGTGCACGTGACCAGGGCCTATGCCTACTGTGCTGAAGCCTGGCTTTGAAGGGGTCTCAGAGCTGCGGGGGGCTTCTGCAGGGTCTGTCCATGTTCTTTGTCCTTCAAAGCTCTGTCTGTTTCTCCGTTCCCGTCACCATCACAGTCATCCTGTCTTTGCTTCCAGGAGGCGGGACAGGAACCGGATCCTAGAGGTGGTGGGGGCACAGAGTGTAGACAAGCCAGAAGTGCTAATTAGCTCCTGCAGGCTTCCAGGGGCTTTGGTGGCAGAACAGGGTCAGGGTAGTGAGAAGACCTGCTCCTCATTCCTTCCCTCAGCATACAAACACTTCCCGAGTGCCCATGGGGGTGGTGGTCATGGAAGCCCAGGCCCCTGACAGCAAGTCCACCTGGCCCGGGGCAGATCTGCTGGGAGGGGCATGGGGAGAGCCAGCGGCCAGTAGGAAGGGGGTGTGGCAGAGCCCTCTGGGCAGCAGGCTGCATGGGTGCAGGGGGTGGGTTGGTGTGGTCACCCGGCTGCCTTGGTGTGGGGCCTGCTGCACCCTCGGGCTCCCTGTGCCAGGACAAGCCCAGACCAGGGGCTCTTCAGCATCATTGCCGGTGGAGTGAGAATCTTTGGTTGAAAACATGGGCCTCTCTAACACAGAAAGGTGTACCTGGAAGCAGGGAGGGCAGCATTCGCCCCACATGGGCAAGGGGGTCCGGCCAGACTCAGGGTGGCACATGGCAGAACTCAAACCAGCATATGTGGAAAGAAGCCACTGATGAGCTTGGGGGATGAGCCCAAGAGCAGGTGCCCAGGTTCAGGCCCAACCGGGTGCAGCTCCTGCCTGTCCCTGCTTCCCAGGGGCACCTCCTTCTCTCTGCCTGGCAGGGAACTGTTGGGGGTCCACCCTCCCATCCCCCCAGCTCGGCAGCCACAGTGCTCCAAAGCCTCTGAGACGTCTGCACGTGCCCCAGGAAGGCCCTGGAAGGCCTCGCATGGAGGCAGGGATTGGAGGGGCCTTGGTGAGAGGTCTGCTGGGACAACACGCAGTACCCAGAACAAAGGCAAGTGCTGT